TATATATATATATATATGAAATTGACATTTGTTCTCATTCAAATTACTTGTAAAGTTAGATGGAAAGATAAAAAATGAATGAGCCCAATGAAAGACAACAACACGAGAAGTCCAGATCCAGCATGATGTTACAATCGATGTAGATGATGAAGACACTACTCCAGAATTAGCTTAGAAAAAGATAAAAGTGAAGAAGGCTTGATCTTGACTCAATAAAAAACGAAACAGAAAGAATAAAAGACAATATTTTCTTAATATTTTATAGAATAGCCTAATTTTTTGAGTAAAATTAGGAATATATTCATGAGTTTTTAAATATTTTTATATATTTATTTTGTGGACGTTTTTATCATATAAAAGTATACTAGATTTAGCATTAATATTTAGTTTATGGTTTGTATGAAGTCTAATATCAATGATTAGGAATAAAATTTATATCTTCTTCTGTGCCATTTTAGTCACTTCTTTTTTTTTTTTGTCTAGGCTTGTTGGCTTTAATTATTCATCTTGCTATGATAATGCTATTTTTCAAGTATTTTTTACTTTTGCAACACTATATTTACTTAGGTAAAGCTTCATTTCATGTTAATCCTAATAACATGAATATTCAAATCGGCTTCACGTTGATTTCATGTCAATTCAATTATCAACATGAAACTTAAATTGGGTGTAGCCTATTCAAACAAACACTAAAGAAAATAAGTAATCACATTATTAAATTTTAGAGACATAAGTGAGTAAAAAAACTATCAAATTGAGATCGAAGAACAAACTTTAGTAAGGAAATAAACTAAAAAAAATAATTATAATATTTAATCGCGTGCAATGCACGTGCATAAAGACTAGTACATACATATACGCAAAGAATAATTAACATTATTTTTTTAAAACAGGTCAAACGACAATTTTAAAAAAATATATATATATGTGCACACGAGTTGTCTAATCCAGGTGGCCTTTCTCCTGAAGGCTCTTGACAGTTTCGTAGAAGCATTGCTTCACAGGGGTGAAACTGATTCCCAAATCTCTGATCTTCTGCGTTGTGAACTCGTAGCCTTTCTTCGCCGGGTTAACCTCGTCCGAGCACCTGCAGTTTCGTAATTCCAACTTTGGTCATTATACAAAGAAAATGTTTTTCCAAATAGATCGAATAATTAAGTGATCATATACAGCTAGCTACACATTATTTCAAACCAAGGCACATGCATGACAAAATAATAGGATAATTGCAAATGAAAACAGGTAATAATCACGGCGCAAGTTACCGTCTTAATTAAGAACCTTTTATATCTAATACGGAAATGCTTTTGGCTCGCGGGGGCCGCCGTGACCAACCCATGAGGAGGGGGGGCAGGCGGTGGCCCCACAAAGCGTGGCCCCTCGCCTGCCCCTCCTCCTCACGCGGTTGGCTCGCGGCGGGCTCCCGCGGCTTTGTGGGCCCACTCGCCTGCCCCTCCTTCACGCGAGTTGGCTCTCGGCGGGCCCCGAGCCAAATAGCAAAACTCTCTAAAGTATTTAGTGCATGTACGGTGGTCTGAGTAAATGAGACACATCTATGATCCATCGGCATCTACAATGCAGATCAACCAACTACCATTCTGTCATGTGAGGGGACTTATCGGTCACGATTTACTCGTGTGTGTGCGTGCTACTAATTAATGTTTGAAAAAAACGTGTCGACGCTAAATCGCTTACTTTGTCGGCAAAGGGTACTGCGGGAAAAGCTGGGCGAGGATGCGGACCACATCGCCGCGGTGCAGCATGCTCTCGGCGCAAATGTACCTCCCCTTCGCCGTGGGCGACTCGGTAGACCGCAGGTGGGCGGCCGCCGCGTCTCTCACGTACCGTAGGCCTGGCCGCGTTGGCGTACGTCTGGCTGAGCCCGTCAGGTACTTCATGACGTGGGCCGTGCTCGCGTTGATCGTAGCTGAAGAAGGCCCGTCAGACCGGGTTGATGACGACGAGTCGACGTTCAGCTCGGCGGCTGCCCTCCATGCCACTTGCTCCGCGACCGTCTTCGCGTAGCAGTACCAGTTCTGCCACAGCCAGAAGGTTTGAAAGTTTAATTTATACGGTGGGTATTTTGTGTAATTATTATATTTATACGAACGGTGGGTATTTTGTCGGAACTTTTAGACGAAGGGATTTCTTGTAATTTAGCCAAAAAGAAAAAGGAAGAAAAGAACAGGAGGATATTTATTTATGATAATATATTGACCTTGGTGCTCTTGCAGTAGTCAAGATCACTCCAGTAAGACTCGTCAACGGTTGCGTCAGGGGCGCGTTTCGGGTCCATATAAACCGTTCCGATCGAAGACGTATACACCACTCGGCGCACGTTAGCGTCCGCAGCAGCACGCACGGCGTTCTCGGTCCCGGCCACGGCCGGCTCGATCTTCTCCTGCGTCAGTTGATCAATTCGATTAAACCGCCGATTATTTTGTATAAAAAATTAAAGATGGAAATTAATATATAGAGATTAGAATTTTATTGTTTACCGGGTCATCGGTGACTGGGGATGCGGTGTGAAAAACGCCGTCGCAGCCATCGACAGCTGACCGGAGACTGTCGTAGTCCAGGAGGTCGGCTTTGACGAGGATGAGTCTCTCTTTTGCTCCTTGTAGTTCTCTCAAGTGAGAGTTCTTCGGATCATCTATTATGTGTCAAGAAAATAAAATACAAGATTAGAAATTACCTAACTTAATTATCTAGCTATCTTGTAATATCGTTATTTTTCATACATAATAATGTAAGAGTGACAATAATCCCTTAAAGAAAAATTCAAATTTAAATCTGTTTATCTCCCTACCACTACTTGGAAGGCTAAATCCATCTGCAAATTAATAGTACGTACCGGGATTCCTGACGGTCCCTTTAACAGTGTAACCTTTCTCAAGTAGAAGCTTCACCAGCCAAGATGCAATAAAACCTCCGGCTCCGGTGACACAAACCACCTCGCCGCGACCGGAATCCGATGAGATGTAGACAGCCATGTTCCCAAAAAAAACTTTATGACAGTATCAATCAATTCTAACTTAACTTGTTAGTTGTACGTGGAGCATAGAAGGGCTCACTCTAGCTTAGAATTTATAAAGAGTAGGGGAAAGATCAGCGTGGTAGTTAAGCTTAGTCCCCAAAATACACCGGTGCTTTTCGTATGGAGACAAGATGGTTGGTGGCGTTCTTAGTTTAACTTTTGAGTGTCCATCGGTTGCGTCGGTCTAAGATGAGAATTTTTAAGAGGGTTAGGTGAGAGTTACCGTTCAAAATGGCTGAGATAACGTCAAAATCTTCTTGAGCGATTGGCTTCAAGCCTTCAACTCCATCTATTGTTTTTTTTAATTACCGTAGCTGCACTTGTATTTGCTAACTGCACCGATATTGACAACTGCGGTTGATCTAAAATGTTCCTCTTGCATGTAAGTGTTGTTACAATTTCGTGATATAAAGTAAGGTTCATGTTAGATCCCATCTCTCTTCCAATGTGATTTGTATGTAAGACTCTTCGTGTACTCAATTTTCCATTAATATTGGGTTAAGGGGCTGTTTGTTTGGGCCAAAAATTTAGGAAACAAGCATTTTTGGAACAAAAAGTAGGTTTTGAGCCATTATAGGATTCCAAAAGTTAGATTTGTTTCATATTTTTTAAGAAAAGGTTTCTTAAAAAGAGAGGAAACAATTCGGACAACACAAATCCTATCTTTTGGCTTGGAAATGGGCTAGAAAGTTGACATATTTGTCAGCTCGGCTTTTCCTCTCTGTCCATGATGGTTCTTTTCTTATTCTTTGAAAATGAAACAAACATGAGTTTTGGATATACTTTTCTATTCTTTGCTTTATCATTCCAAATCAAATTAAACACAAGTTTTAGATTCCTTTGATATCCTAAAAAAATTAAATTTGGTTTTTTGTGAGGAATCCATTTCCATAATTTTATGGAAATTTTATGGAAATGAACCAAACAGCCCCTAAATGTCTTACGTGCCCCAATGTTGAAACTATTTTAACTTTGACACCCTAAAAATTTCTTGCTTGGAAAAAGATACCCGAAGTTTAAAAGCATTTAACCTTCGGTACTCCGTTAAGTCTTTTTAGGTTGTCAAAGTTGAATGATTTTGAACTCTAGGTTAAGTTTTTGGGGAAAAACCGCGTACTCAATGCATCAATGTTGAGAATGGTATAAACTTTGAGGCATCTAATTGCAAATAACCATATTAATAATTAGTGACCTGGCTCAGTGGAATAATTTCAACCCCACGTTTATCCAATACTGTCAGAGTCTATCGTTTCATCAACATATGCTACCACCTACCAATTTTTGATAAGTCAGGGTTCAATGTTTTCTCTACCTGCGAACGTCTGCATGCAGTGAAGACTAGGATAAGCACTGGTGGATTCAGTATACTATTCCACCCCTTTCTCAAAAAATTATTTCCTCATTTGAATATATTTTTTTTCTTCTTTTAGAATTTAGTACGGTGTTTCCTCTTTTCAAGGAAACTTCTTGTTATTTGAATAGATTTGATAGTGGAGTTCAATTTTTCTCTCAGAGGCTTGATTTGAATGTGACAATATGGGGAAACTTCGCGTATAAATCCCTGTAATATTCAAGTCTCTTGTTATTGCGTTTTTTTTTCTTTAGATATATTTGTCATTAATGTAGTATCTATATGAATTTAAGAA